CCGTTGGGAGTCGTAAAAAATCGACTCCTGTCCGGCGTTGTCCGGCTACGAGGAAAAGGCGCTCGCTCTCGATGGCTGCCTGCCTGCCTGCCTGCCTGGCAGCCGTAAATAAAGCCCCGCAAACATTAATAACTCCCATTGGGTGTGTTAACAAGCAATGACCAGAGTGGGGCACCTCCCAATCCCATTGCGGAGGTCTGGTCTGCGATTTTTCCCTCCCTCCCTCTGCCTGTTCCCCCTCCTTGTTGCCACTGTGCATAAATTGCAGTAAAAATGGCGCAAAAATTTTACATTTCGTGGCTGAAAAACGATGTGCAACAAAAGGGGAACAAAACGTGGAAATAAAGTAACACGGAGGCAAGCACAAAAATCGCGCATACGCCAGGTGCCCGTCCACCCCCAACCGTGCAGCAGGCAAAACATAAAATGGTTGAATGATGAGTGCCAGGGAGAGAGACAGCGCACAGGAGGAAAGTTCAGAACAGAGCCCTGGTAATGCATGTAAGACAATCATTTTGACAAGCACTCTGCCAGTGTTGCCACCACAACGCTGAGCTCAGCTCAGTCCTCCGCCCTTTTGCTGCCGGTGGGTTGGGGAGGAGCTGACTGTGGAGTTACGTTACTCATTGGCCCCGTCGCTCGCCTGGCTGCCTTCTGATTACTATGCACTTTGATACTTATCTTTAATTGAGGTAACATTCTGCATGCAAAAAAAAATAAAGAGAAAAAAAAGGTAAAGCGAAAAAGGGAAAAGCTTTAGCTGAACAAAAGCCTTGTCTTGTCTGCCACGCTCCGCTGGGCACACTTTTCATATCCTTCTGGTGTGTCGGTGGGTCCTGCATGACTGTGTGTGTGTGCGACCTGTCTGCCTGTGTGTTGTGCGGCTGTTGCGAACGCTTTTCGGGTGTAACTTTGAGTGGGTTTCAGTGTTGGGCGCCGGGCAACATCAATTACAGCAGATGAGGCAGCTGCCGCATTTAGATTTCAGCTGAAGAAAAGTAACAGTTTTGGGGAGAAAAGCAAGAGTTGCTGGTGGAAAGTGGCAGAGAGACAATCGAGTGGTTTTTATGCATTTTTCACAGTCCAAAAATCGTTTAGGAAACAAGAAATTATCAGCAATTATTAACGCAGAAAAGGCTCTAGTTTTAGCTCTGCTTTGCTCTGCCTATAAATTCTCTGCTCTACTTCATCTTAGATATATTTCTCATACTAGAAACCCTAAACCTTGAGCACAAGAGTCACAGAAATTCAAGCAAAAGTCATTCTGTAGTTGCAACTTAATCAGCTTTTCCCTGCGACATGCACAAATAGCTGTCCATCATCGATGGGTGCATCGATTCCAAGTAAGCTCTTTGCAGGAAGTTAAATTATATTCAATTTGCCGTTGGAGGCCTCACAGTGTTTATGCGTTGCTCCCTTTAAATGTTTAACGAGCGTAGAGGCGGGGCCCACAGCAGTAGTTGAACTCAACTCGGTTTCAATTAATCGTTAACCCTTTCAGTGCCGGGCTCCGACATCATTGTGGAGTTGTGGAGTTTGCGGCTGCCCAGCGTTTGCTTTATAAATATTTAAGACCATTAAGCAGACAACGGCAAATGGTAGTCCACACACACACAGACACAGAGAGAGAGAGAGAGAGAGAGAGAAAGAGAGAGAGAGAGAGAGAGAGAGGGAGAGGGGCAATGAGTGGCATGCGTAATCCTGGCCACATTCAAACATGCAGCCAGCCAGCCAGCCAGCCAGTAAGCGTTTTATGGCCATTGTTTCCTCGGAGGCTTTGAGGCAAAGTCTTACCCCGCTGCCACACCCTGCCTCCTACTCGGTAGTGCGCTGTAATCGTTATCGTAATCGTTATCGTTGCTTGTACCTGGCCCCCCAAGTCCGGTGGCTTCAATTGTTTTGCCGTTAGCAGGTAGCACTTGTCTGCGTCGGATGCCAAGGCTAATTTTGCGTAAAATGAGAGCAGAGCGGCAGCAACCGCAGCCCTCGAATCATTCATTATGACCGCAGTCAGGCGAGGGCCCACAGGACTCGTTGCATGTGCCATATGCAAATAAACAATGAGGAGGAGGGAACGAGAGAGAGAGCCGCTGGGAAGAGTCTAGGCACTAGGGGTAGATCCACTGGGGGATTTCCACTGTAGTTCCATGTCCTGTGGTGGCTCGGGGCCAGTGCACCCGCAAAGCGAATCAATCATAAATTGTCAACAGCTCCAATCCACTTGCCCCGGTGTAGTCCCGGTCGTATACGTGCCATTGCCAGGCTTCTGTCGACTGTGTGCCCAAGGGAACACTAATTGATTTATTGCCCGGAATTAATTCTGTAACCGAACATTAATATTTATTGCAAAAGTTTCGATTGTGACGCTGGGGGAAACTCCAACCCCAAAGCAGCGCCTTGACCTTTTGGCGGATCGTTGAATAATTCGAGTCTGTGGCACGGATTTACCTCGAGGGGGCCGCTGTGGATTGTTTGTGCTGCTTTAAATTGCTTCTATGAATAAGTGAGTTGTGCCCCGCAGACAGCAGACAGCAGCAAGCAGCGAGCCAGCAGCAGCAGCACAAAAGCCATGGCTAACGAGTTCGTACAAACAATCTGCACATTGCTCGAAAAGGGATGGTGGGGCATGCAGATCTTTCGTCAGGTATTTGCAGTTTTATAAAAGCAATACGCATATCGTATGAACGGCATGCCAATGCCAGAGCTCTGCTCTCCTCTCCTCTGCTCTTCTGGTATTTGCATTCACTTTTCCTGCAGTGCCTGTTGTTTGCCTCCAACTGTGGTATGGAAACCCATCAAAGGCGGCAGCTCCCTGTAAGGTCTCTCTCACTCTACCTCTCTCTCACCCTCTCTTTCTCTCTCTGGCCGCCACAAATTCTCGTTTGGCCAAGCGACATTTTGGCTGTGAAACGAAATTTGTTGAGCTTTCAGCAGCTCCTTGAAATGAGCATTGAGCACAGAGTCCAGAGCGACGATTGAAGTAATGCCATTATGCGAGTAGGTGGCCATTGAATGAATTTTCCTACGACCAAAAGTATCCTTCAACCGCCCTCCTTCTCCCTCTTTCTCTCCGCCTGTGCTTGCTGCGGCTTGTGTGGCATGAATACTTTTGGCTTTCAGGTTTTGTGGCTCTGCAAATGCTGCAAATACTTATTTCAATTATAGCTAAAATTTCGTGGTTATTCCTAAAGAATTTATCCCTTCCACTCCTATGAAATTGTGGCTTTGTTTTTTATTGGTTTTCGTACAGATTTTCTCTCTAGCGAATTTTCAGTTCAGATTTTTCCTCTCTTCTGAAATATCTGTTGAATTTTCTAAGCTGGAGCTGGTTTTTTCTCTGCTTTTTATTGTTTTTTAAACCGATTTTTCTTTTGCCGAAAATTTCAGTTGAATTTTCTAAGCTGCAGCTGGTTTTTCCTGTGTGTTTTTATTGGTTTTAAACAGATATTTACTCACTCCCATTCTTCAGCTAAAATTTTAGTTTAATTTTCTAAGCTGTGTTTTTTCCTTTTGGCTTCATTTTGCACACAATATTATTTCAGCTCCAAAAATCGTTGACTGCTGAAGCGGTATCCGCCCTTCCCCTTTTCCCACCCACTCATTCATTTTGGCAAATGGCAAAGTTTTATGAACTGCGCCGTTTGGGAGTCAGTTTTAGGTTGTTGTTTTCCTTTTTGTTTTCTGTTTTGTTTTGTTGGTTGGATTCCTTTTAGGCGGAAATGAAATTTTTGCAGTTTTACAGTTTTGCAATTTTTGCTGTTTTACTGTTGTTGGGAAAGGGGTTTTTGGAGGAGTCGTTCACTGAGTTTGAGTGTGGGGCCATAAAAGCTTTCTGCCATTTCAGCTGACGATTGTGAAGTCATAGAAAGTCGTCGTCGTCGTCGCGTCGAGTAATTAGAAAATTAACCCCAACCAGCCGGCCATAAATGAAAATGTAACAACTGCCATTTGCAACGGGAAATGGGAACAACAACAAAAAAAACTAAGGGAAACAGCCGAACCAGCAGAAGCGGCACCAGCTCTGCCACTCCACATGCTGCACACTCGGCGATTCAGCCAGCCATGTGGCCGCTCGAGCAAACTCTTCGCTCCGCAGTGAATAAAGGAGCACAAAAAGAAAAATATATACGAATGAAACATTATAAGGGGAAGGATTTTTTGAAGATAAAACGACTGGCAGATGCTCTACAAATAGTTGTGGAAAATGTATAGAAATTATATGAAAACAAAAAACCAAAACTCATTTTTAAAGATAATTTCATTCCGCTGACATTTGTATGGAAATTTCGCTGCAAGGCTTCATTTTCTACTGCTTAATTTTGACACTTTTAGAAGTGCTGCCACAGTGCAGACTGCAGCCACAAGAAGAGCCACTGAGAACTTTTTTACTACTTTGACCAGGATCTAATCAAAACTCTAACAATGAAAAAGACCACAAAAAAATAAAACTAATATACAGATAAGCCACAGACAAAACGCTCTTCCTTGATGCTCTTCCTTTCGTTAATGTTAATGTTAAATAATCTGTAAAGATAAACTCCTTCCTTTGGCAACTCGAATGTTAATGAAAATTTCGATGCATGGCTTCACTTCCGACAGATTAATTTTGTCACTTTTAAAAGAGCTGCCATAGTGGAAAAACTGCCAGAAAGTTAGCGTAAAACTACCATTACCAAACTAACAAAAAGAAGAGCAACTCTCAGTCCAAGTGGTGCTGTCATCGCTTTAATTAAACTACACACGTGTCACATGTTTAGGTGCAGTTGGTGGGCATTTTCATTTTTCTACGTGCTCTTTTTTTTCGGCCACACTTAAGCTCAGACAAAATGCGAGTGAATGAGTGTAGGAATGCGGTCCTGGTGGCGTCACCAGCAAGCAGGTGCTTTGCCACGCTGGAGTCACACATTTTCAGTGGCTTTTGCCACACCATTTTTGCACACAACACACCACAATTTATCACTACTCTAACTTCTTATCTTTCTCTCTCTCTCCCTTTGCAGGACTGGCCGTGTGCTACCAGCGGCAATCTGTGAGCAGCAGCAACAACAATCACAATCATAATAATGCCGAGTCAAAGCCCACACACATGCCACCATCGCATTATCCGCACGGCCACAAGTGGAACGAGCCGTACTTTGATCTGACCATGCCCCGCAACATCACATCGCTGGTGGGCAAATCCGCCTATCTTGGCTGTCGTGTGAAGCATCTGGGCAACAAGACGGTGAGTAAGAGGCTCGGTCCTCTTCGTATATTAATAATAATCTTGATTTTTATTTACATTTAATAAACAAAGAGAAAGCAGAGGGGAAGCACAAGTGTCGCAAATATGCCACCGAATATCCACTTAGATGGTCGAGATAGTCATCTCGGACAGACTTTGCGTGGAGGATGCTTATTAAATTTGGTGCCAGTTTATTATGTAATACGTGACAACAGCAGACAGCAGATGCTGTCCCTCCCCTCCCATCTACTCGTTCCCTGCTGAATGGCGTCACTTGATTCGCATGGCCCAATTAAAGTCTCGTCTTTCAAGCAGGCCCCCCAGGCGGCACTTTAAATCCCGCCCCAGACGGGCATTGCATTTCAGGAATTGAGCTCAAAACTGGGGTCTATGCCTGCCTATATCCTGTTTCAATATGCCGCAGCGTCAGCCAGTGGACAGACACAATGCGGAAATACTTGCCACGCACTTGCCAAACATTTTTCGCTCCCTGGGAAAGTTTGCAGGTGTTGGCCAGCCAAAAACGAAAACGAAACGAAACGCAAAAGAGGAGCTGTGGCAACGTTGATTACGTTAAGCGATTTAGCTACAGTCATGACCGAGGCCGGGGTCATAGATTTCCACATAGCCAAATCCGCTTCCGCAATCAGTAAACTACACACACAGAGTGTGGGGAGGGGAGAGAGCGCGGAGCTTTGGGTAGTAAATTTATGGCCAGACTGGGCACAAAGTTTACTTTTGCTGCTGCCTGCCCTTTTTTTTTGTTTTGGCTGCCTTTTTTTCGTTTTTTCCTGTGTGCTGTTATTGCAGAATTAGATAGAGAGACAGACGGACCCACACACGGGGCAGTGGCACTGCACAGATGAATGCCACAAGGCAGCACACAGTTGGCTGACTCTGACGCAGTCTCTCTGCCAAACACCCAACTGTCTGTCTGCCTGTCTGTGGGGTGCGGTGTGTGTGCTATTGGTTAGACAGTTAGCCGCATAAACAAGGAGCCCCAAACGTGGGCTCTGCAACAGCAAAAGCAATCCAACTCGACTCAAAAATTGTTGTCGGCAGGGAGGCAGGGCAATGTCGACTGAATGTCGAAATGAAGTGGCTGCCAGCAGGGCCAGGGGAATGCTGGAAGGACCCTCAGTCACACAGCCGAGTATCATTTTCCGGGTCTGTCATGCGTTTCGCACACTAATTTCCAGCTTGTATGAAAATGTCTGCATAAATTTTGTGGCAGAACAAATTATAAGCAAAAAACGACAACATTTGGCACACGTTTTAATGGGTTTCTTCTTCTCATCTTGTTCTTAGGTCGCCTGGATAAGACATCGGGATCTGCACATACTGACGGTGGGCACCTACACCTATACGACGGATCAGCGCTTCCAGACCTCCTATCACCGGGACATTGACGAGTGGACACTGCAGATCAAGTATGCCCAGCAGCGGGATGTTGGCATCTACGAGTGCCAGATATCGACACAGCCAGTGCGCAGTTACTCGGTCAACTTGAATATAGTGGGTGAGTAGTCTCACATCCATCTATCCATCCATCAAGAGGGGATGTGTATCCTTTTGGAGTGTGGCTTTCGGCCGCATGAGCCCTACAGCTTTTTGGGATATCTGCTGCATTTTTCAGACGGACGCGAATACGTACAACAAGCCATTGGCTGTGGCATGAGGTTGGGGCATGAGGTTGAGTCCTGGTCTGTGGGTTGTTTGGGGAATTTCACATATATGAAAGTATCGCTTCGAGTTTATTTTTTCTTTTATTTTTTGCATATTCATGCAATTTGCAAGAGTGTAAATTATGCAGACTTGGCAATCGTCGAAAAATACACAGGATATATGTACAACAAAAACACAGGACACATCCGCGTCGAAATTTTTTGAAATGCTTTCGGGTAGATTGATGGACTGAAAGCGACGAGCCAACTGGAGGCTTAACCCCAGCCACAAATAGCAGATATTGACCGACATAAAGGTGGAACCAATTTCAAAAATGTTTTATGTTTCCCACTGCGGCAACATTTCTATTTTAATTTATATTGAAAATACTTGTGTGCAATTGTTTTAAGCTAAAAACAATGACAGACATTAGACGGGAAATTGTTAGAGTTCTAAGCGAGTTATAATGAAATTAAATCCACCACAAAAGCCTACAATCATCGAACATCTAGCAATAATTATAATGGACAGCGGGCGGTGGGTTCTATTTCTATTTCTATTTCCATTTCTTACCATTCTATTTTTACCCATTTTAGTTAATTAGTTTACCTTTTTTGTTATAGTTTATTCACTGATTTTCTGATGCCTATTTTTACACCACACACAATTTTGTTTATTTGTTCTTTACTTTTTGTTTGTTTTTCGATATATTTTTGGGACAGACCTTATTGATGCGGAGACCAGCAGCATGATGCAGCAGTACTACAATGATGACGCCTTCTATATAGCCGCCGATCGGGTGTATCAATCCAGCGATGATGAATTCGCTGGCATGTTTGGACCCATCCAAACAGTAGCCGGTTTGTGCACAATATATTTATTTATAAGCGCAAACAAAGTGTATCCGCAAGCCAAGCTAACCGGAAGAAGACAGACACGGACATGGATGGAGAGATGACGAAATAGACAGCACGGACACGGATAAAAAAGGAGCGAATGAGGGTGTTGCTTGAGGGCATGCCATGCATGCATATTATTTTTTAATATTTTACAACATTTTTTCGTGCTCAGAGTGAAAGTGATGCCAGCCAGCCGGCAGAATTGGCTAGGTGTGGGTACACCAAAAGGGACAGGTTTGGGTTTGGGGTTTGGGGAAACCGGGAACGATAGTCAAGTGCTGTTGGTGCGCCGCCTTGAGCTTACATTTTCTGTCTCATGACGAACAAATTGGTTTCCAACCCAACGCAGCTTTTACCAACTAACTTCTGCCAGCTACTGTTCCTTTACGCTCTTAATATTTTCCACCTTTTTCACAGTTTTTCTCGCAGTTTTTCCTCCCTCTGTCTGAAATTTACATTTTCTGTTTTTCTTTCCACTATTTTGATTGCCCAAGTGGTTGGTTGGGCACATTTAATTATACTCAGAACGTTTGCAATATTTATTCTGGCCAGTACTCACCGACAGACATACTTTAGACATTTTTGGGCAACGTGCCGCAGAGGTTGGCGTAGCGTTGGCTCCTGCCAGCTGTGCACTGACTTTCGTTGAAGTCTCCGCTTATGTAGAGGTTCTGCTTGCGCGGGGCATCCCCATCGTAGTAGCAAATTAGCACGAAGCGAACATTCCGATTGTCGTAGTTCTGGCCAGCGGCACAGCCCATGTGGGTGGCGCGATCGTTTATGATGTGGCGAATGGCACGGGGCGCCGTTTCCGTGTGGATGCTCTGTAGTTGATAGACCTCGTGCAACCAGCTTTCCGTGAGGAAGGTCACCTGGCGCATATTCGAGATTAGATGCAGGGCACGCGACTGCAGGTCATCGCCGTAGTTGACTGCTGGTTCGGGAAAGTCATCTGTGGCCACACACACATCGTTCAGTTCCCTCAGACAGCGCTTCAGATGATATTCCGCCACGAGGGCCAAGTAGATGTCCCACACCAGCTCGGGCATGTGCTGGGCCTTGGGCAGGCCGCTGATCTCCCCGCTTGCCACTTTCTGGCGGTAGGTGTTGTGCATTGCCAGCAAATACGAACGGTACATTTCCATGTTGACCAAACGGCGATCTTTCATGCAGCTCTGATCGAATTTCTGCAAAATAACGAGAGATAAATTTAAGTTACCTGCAGGGACACGAAATACTTACCATGCTGTTGTTGCAGCCCAAATGAGTCATGCCCTGACAGGCCTTAACCTCGCAAAAGTCAATGGCCAGACAACAGCTTAGCCAGAGGAGCCCGAAACTCAGTAAAACAAACGGCCATTGCTGCATTTCTGTATCGTACTGTCTTGTTATTGCCTAATACGAAAGCAACGGCAACAAGTGGATTTTGTTAAATGAAACAGACTTCAGAAGTTTAAATAGCAAAAATTCGAAAGTTTTGTGTTTTGCTGTGTGAAACAGCAAACGTACAGGCTTCTGAGCAGTGCTGACAACAGTTCAGGTCATAAAAAAGGCTAAGCTGGACTTTGTATAAACTAGAAATAGCCAGACAACTTTGAAGTGAAAAACGATTGTGAGAAAATAGCTAAATTGCCAACACTGCTGCTGAGTGCCGAAATAGTAGAAAAGAGTTTGTATGCAAAAATTGCGGTACATTTCTGCGAGAGCGAGATTTTGAGAGAGCAAATCAAAGTAAGTCGCCCATAAGGTGACGCCTTCAACACATTTGCGCTCTTTCGTTTGTCAGCATGCATGCGAATGTGCGCTCTCTGACAACCGAGAGAGCGAGTGGAAAGACGGAATCGCAGAACGTCACCCTATTAGAAACATCACTTGGCATTTGTTTCCTCTGATGACCGTCATGAAATGATCCATCCCTCTCTAACACACGTTGCGGGGTACAACAACACCAACTTGTATAATTTCATCATGCTTTGTGACTATCTGCAGCAGTTTTTCTGAGCACTAACATTTTATGACTGCCTACAAAAGCTCATAACTGTAACCCCGTTATGTGTTCAAATGTACTACATATGTGTGGATGTATAGCCCGTTGATTGGCATTTAAATTTAAAAAGTCCCAACGGAGCAGCAGGGCAAATGTTGAGCGATAAAGAGGAATCACAGAAAATGTATTGGTACACAACACAGAATGGCTGCTCCAGCTCAGCCCAGATATTTCCCATAATCCTATACTCCCTCCCATGACGAGGGGACCCGGGCCGGCCCGTAATCGATTATTTAACGTACTGACTTTGACTGGCAGAACGTTTCCTACTCAACTATGGAAATACCCCCTACAAAAACAACAACAACTGTGGCCCTGGGGGCTGCAGCTGGAACGGGGGCTGTTGCTGTTGCTATAACTGCAGCCTGGAGCGAGATGGGGCACTTGTCACTGGTCAAATGCAGCTCAAACCCAAGCTGGGGCAATTTCTAGCACTGCCATGGAATGACACTGGCAGTTGGGGCTGTGTGACCATTTCGGAATTTCACAACTCGTCAGAGCGAGCGAGAAAGGGAGAGCGAGGAAGAGCCAAAGCTGTGAACGGAGCTGATTAGGCAACGTAACCAACTGATTGGCACAGCTCAAGTGGTAGGCAGGCAAAAACGAAGAGGGTGCAGGGACTGGGACATTAATCTATGGCATAACTGAAAAATGTTCGCTAATTTCAATGTTTCCAGTGCCAACGGCCACCATTTTGGGCGGACCCGATCTGTACGTGGACAAGGGCAGCACCATAAATCTCACATGCATCATCAAATTCAGCCCAGAGCCGCCGACGCATATCTTTTGGTATCACCAGGATAAGGTAAGTACATACATATCCGCCACACACTCTTGAAATCAATTTAGAGGGATAAAAGAAACCAATTTAATTTCCCATTTGTTGGTGCCAAATTATCTTGCAATAATTGAGTTTTTGTGCGCAGTAAAAAGCGCAAGGGGGCCCGGTGGCCCCGCCCAGCCAATTGCTGTGTGGGCGGGATAAATGTTTTTAACTTTTATGAGCTCCGGGGGGTCGCTTGGCGCCTCTTCAGGGGTGTGGATGTGTTGCGCAGTGTCTGTCGTGTTTGTTTACGAAACGTATTTAATTTTGGCTTTTATGATTATGAGAAAACATGCTTTTGCATTTAGGTTATATAACCCCCGTACCGCCCACACACCCACTTTGAAAATAACTTTTTCAACAAGGGAGAATTTTGTTTTAATATTCTTCTTCATCGCATCACGCAGGTGCTTAGCGAGGAGACTGGCGGCGGACGTTTGAAATTCAAGACCATCAAATCGGAGGAGACCAAATCCATTTTGCTCATTTACGACGCGGATCTGCTACACTCGGGGAAGTACTCGTGTTATCCATCCAACTCGGAGATAGCCAGCATACGCGTTCATGTCCTGCAGGGTAAGTATTCCGCTCCAAGTTTAAGGCCTTTAATTTGATGCTGCAGCCTGATAATGTAAATTATTTATGCATGCATTTGCTTGACCTCGATTTGTATGCATTAAAAGTTGCAGCTCCAGCTACGACAAAACTTTATGCAATTTATGAACTTGCCACAAAGGCGAACCAGCGCAGAGGCCTTTTGCGACTCCCACAAATTGTTGCCCATTCAAACTTAAATCTTCTTCTTTTTCTTCCTTTCGGTTTGACAGGCGAACGGCCGGAGGCTATGCAAACGAATGCGGCGCCGGCTGCTGTCGCTTTGGCCTGTTGGTCCTGCCACACGGCCCAGGCCACTCAGGCGGTCAAAGTAATTAGCACAATGGTCGCGGCATTTGTATTGTTGGAGGCATGCTCCTCGCTGCTGCTTCAGGGCGGTGCACCAGGTGGTGGTGGTGCTGCTGGAGCAGGCGGTGGCGGTGGAGGTGGCGCACCCAGCCGAAGTCGTGCCAAGGAGAGACCCAGCCAGGAGCAGACCCTAGCCAAGTCCCTGCCCATGCCCTGCGGCGGCTGTTGCCCTGTCAATAATGGCAGCAGGAATGCGCGGTGATAAATTAATGTCGCATCGCTGGAATTCCACCGCCAATGCAGCAGCCACTGCACCTAAATGAGGCAGAGCTGCAGCAAAAATGATTTATAGCAGCCACAGAGGGGGAAAGAGAGAGCGGTAGGAGCAGCAGCCACAGTCAGTTTTCTTCAAAGTTGTTCTTCAGACTTGAGCTGCATGTAATACCTTTACAAGAAATACGAAAGAATATAAAACTGAAACTAATTATGCTAATGAGGAGGAGAAGATGTTTCAACCAGCTGCTCCTGCTGCTGCTCCTGTGGCTTTCTCCTTGCTCCTGGCTCCTGCTAAGTTGTAAGTAAGAGTGTTTCTAATTAAGTGTGCCAGGATCTACAATACTTTGGGTATTAGGGTGTACATAAAACTGCCAGAACCCAGGGCAAAAATAAAAATGGTTAGCAAGCATTTGGAAAACGAATCATCAGCGAGTCATTAGCGGAAGTAAACAACAATTATAATCATATTGATAGCTTCTAAAAAACTAAATACTAAATAGTACATAAATACGATACATAGTGAGACATTTGCGTAGTTTGAAAAAGTTTATTCAAATTGTTGTAAATATTACAAATGGAATACCTAACGCGTTACGCATTTGATTTAGGTTTCTCTTTGAGTTATACTTTCCCCCCCTGTATAGCGTAGTCCTTAAGCCCTGTACATAGTTAGGTATATGTATCCATATGTAATGCCAGTGTAGCAAATAATAACTACAATATATTTCAATGTGTGGACTTTGTCAAAGGGTTCCTAAACTACATACATCTTTTTGGCAACATTTTTGTAAGCGAAAACAACAAAACAACAATTTTCCTCTTTGGAGCATTATTTTTTAATGTTTTTTTTTAATAATCTATTGGGGTACATTAAAATTGTATGAGAAATTCCTGCCAAAAAGTGCTGCTAGCTGCTTCACTTTGAAGTAGTTGGAAAGGAACCCCAGCCGAGGCTAACAATTTATTTAAGAGTTTTCCAACGGCCACGGAAGAGCTGCCAGTCATGTGGGAAGGTCCTGTGCCCGTTCACAATTCCTGTAAATGGGTTTCTTGCCCCAAACTCCAGCAATATTTAGAGCTCCTCTTCGAGCATGTCCGGTTGCATTTTTGAAGCCCCTTCTTGGCCGAACGGCCGACTCACTGCCGAGTACGTTTGTCGACAGAAATATTTGCATTTCCATTGCCATTTCCCGAGCGCTATGTGGAAGCTCCCTCAGTCGTCACTGCTCTCCATTGAGTAGCGAGTGACTCATGGCTCGAATTTGTACGTTCAAAAATTGTAAATAAATATGCATATGGGAATAAACTATATAATGTACTCAACTATTTATATGTGGTAGTTATACATACAAGATATATGGGTAAAATATATATAAATATATTTATTAATGTAAACCGAAACGCATGCAAAATTAGTCGCGACATTGTAAATGAATGTTTAATGGGTAAAAATTTAATGTTGCAGAGAGAGAAAATATATTTAAACCATACCAAATAATTGCAAATTAAGCAAATAAAATTAATGTTTAAGCGTAAAATTAGAACATCATAAAAACAGAGACAGAAAATACAAAAAATAAATATAAACAGAGAAAAATAAGAAAAAATCAGTAAAAACCGAAAAACCCACAAAAAAAAGAACAACTCCGACAAACATAAAACCAAACTTTGTTGACCTTTTTTGTTGCAAACAAAATAGTGGGCAAACGAACACATTAATAATGATTATGAAATTGTTTTTAATTTTTAAGCGGCGTGTAGCTACGCAACTATGGCGAAAAAAAACGGCATGGAAAAATTCAATAAAGTTGTGTGTTTTTTTCTTTGGTTATTACCATCCAATGATAAATATGAAATTTATTACAAAAGCATACACTCTCCGTGCGCTCTCTCTTTTCGCTTTCTCTTTGATGTGAGTTTGGGTTTTAGGTGTGGGTTTTGGGGCAGAAGCTGGGGCCTACCCCCCCGCTGTGCTGTGAGGCCGGGAAAGATTTATGCAAATATTTTCCATTGCTATTCATGTATTTAGCCAGAGAATTTTAATGGTCCCACACACAGACAATGGATCGTGAGCGCCTGCGGGGGAGACTGTAAGTTTTCACTCTGCTATTCTCTCGTATTTTTCGGGAGGCATTTTCCATTTTTCAGCCCAATAAAGCCGCAATGCAAACGGCAAGCAAGAAAAGTGTAAGCCAAGAAAAGGAAAAGCAACGTCAAGGAATGGGCATTAAGTGCCTGGCAGCATGGCTGTCGGGCAGGCCAGCACTAGGCCATGTGTGTGTGCTGCCACTAGGCTATCCTGTCGCAGGACTCTGTTTGGTAAGACATCAGAAGCCGTTAACATAAAAGTTTATTATATGACAAGTAAGTACATATATTTCTTTCCTTCTCGCTTGCATTAGTCCTCTCTCTCTCTCTGCTTCCCACTCTTTGTCTGTTGGCCAAGGCAAATAACGGCAATGTCATGCCAAAAAAAGTTTAATAGCGCACAACGCGTCAGTCCCATTCCTCTCACCTCCTGCTTGCCCCATCAAAGCGAATTGAGTGGAAAGGCGCATAAGGCACATGAGCCGGAAAGTTTTACTCCCCACTCTCCTCCGTAGTGCCAAGGTATTATCAAGAGAGAATGATGATGATGATTGGACTACCCACCCGCATGCTGCGCCCTTTGCAAGATAATTTGACTCTGCATTCCACAGAAGATTTGCGATCAATGGAGTGAGAGAATAAAAGAGAACATTGTGGGCACACCTAAGTACACATGTACTTATGTATAATGGAATTAAATGGTTGACTTTTAAATACAAACATCATAAAAACAAACAAACCTCACTTTAAATCAAAGATAAATGTATTAAAAGTCTTTTTAAAATAATGTAAAATAAATAGCAAAAGTACTTAAGACAAATCTTTTTATGTTTACATCAAAATTGACATAGTTTTGGTTATTGTTTATTATTTTGTTCACCATTCAACTTTTGTTTTTTTATATTTGCTTAAAATTGTATAGAGAATTGTCTGAGGCATGGTTAAGTATCCTTATTATTATTATTCAGATGACTGTATGCTAAAAATAATTAAATTAAATGTGAATGGAAGACATAGTGAAAAAATAACCGACTCAGGGCCTTAGAGTACCCCTGGAGCAAACCAATCTCTCAATTAATATATGCAGACATACTTCTAATACCAGACATAACAATTTGCCGACCTGCAATTACTCTTCAGTCAATATATAGCCAAAGACCAAGCCAAATTATTGGGTAAATACATTTTATTTTGGGCCTTCGACGGAATAACATTTGCCTCCACTCAAATATATTATAATAAAGCAAAAAAAACAAATCAAAATCAATAAAGAAGAACCAGAAATAACTTTCTTTGTGGAAGGGTCTGCCAATTGGTCTCACATGACCAACTTGCGAGTGCCATCCTCTGTGTCACAGCCAGAAGTCTTGTACTTGTCCACCTCGGCCTGGTACACTGACCAAAAGTCCGTGGGATCCACAGTCTTCTCTGTGGCATCCTTCGGTTTGGGCACCCGTCCGGTCTTCAGGATCTTGCCACCACGACGACGACCCACAGAGAGAAGTGGCGGTGGTGCTGGCGCGCCCATGGACGCTGCGATAATGTATGGAGCGGCGACATTAGTTTCTTCCTGTTGAATTTTCTTGAAAGTATCCAAGAAAGATCCATCGTTGGCGAAGCAGCAGCCGCTCGCCGTCTGCTTGGCTGGAGCAGGCCCTTTGCTCTCCTTTGATATGGAGTCCCGCAGCTTCTGTAGCTTCTCCTGCGTCTCACGGTGAAAGCGCTCCTTGTCGAAGGGCTCGTCCGTGTCCAAGTTGTAGTAGTCCCCCACCGCAGATCCATTCTTTGACTGCTCGTCCTTCTCCTGCCTGTGGCTAGTAGCTGGTGAATCTGAGCGACGAATCCGTTTGCTGCGCCTGGAGGAGTCATGATAGCGATGGTGACGTTCGCGCTCCTTGGAACGATAGCTGAACTCGGTCTCCCTATGGTGGCGTCGCTCGCTACGACTTTTGCGTTCATCTGATCGTTCTGTTGTTCTTCCCGAGCGTTTTCTGCTGCCACAATCCATAGTCGGGCTGCGTCTCCGCTGCCAATTGAGTGACTGAGATCCGCGTGTATACATTAACTGCTCCTCACGCATTTCCTTCTTGTGTTCAGTATGACGACGGGACATTTCGTACTAGCTGCAATGCGAAAAAGTTTGCGTTTGTCCACTGTTCCTCATTGTCGACTCCTCCATTGCATACTCACCAAATAATCGCAAGTAACAGTGTTTAGTTCAGTTAACTAGCTGCAAATTTGTTTAATACTTGTCCTTTTTGTTTTGCCAGAAAGAAGTATTTAACCCAGACTACTGGGTTTTGAGAAGAATCAGATCGGAAGGGGAGTAGCAGAAAGTCAGTTGTCGTGATGTTACAGTTTCATGTTAAGTTAGCAGCGAGCTAACAGCAAGTGAAAACGAGAGTGCACAGCTGGGCTACAGTTTGTTCCAGACACATGTTAGTTTAGCATTAAGCTAACAGCGAAGAAAACAAAAGGTACAAAAAGCCGCATGTTAATTTAGCAGCTAGCTAACAGCGAAAGAAAAAGAGAGTGAGATCTGCACAGAGAGCCACAAGCCACCTACGCACTTAAATCCGCGTCGCTCTCTCAACTTAAATTTCCCTGACCAGACACAGGAGAGAAATGCCCTGACCGCTTAGATACAGGAGAGAAATTCCCTCAAAAAATATGCTTCCATGCAAAAGCACGTTTTTTCGCGTCGCGGCCCAAAAAAAAATTCTAAAAATGGTGAAAAAAAGTGCGTTAAAGTTGATAAAAAAATGTGTGATAGTTAAAGACAATGTTTAAAAGATAAATATACTAGAAAAGTGCTAGAAACTCGAAAAGAAATGTGAAAAGTGGTACAAAATTCGGTAAAATGCAAGCGCTTGTGAGGAGAGAGTCAGGCCACTTCGGGAGTGGCACATAAATGGCACTCTTCGCGTCGCAAATTTCGGGGTAAAATAACGGGATCATTCAATTTAAGTTTTTTTTTCTCTTGTGTTATTTTCAGTTGCTTTGATTTTTTTTCTGTGAGAGTGAGTGTAAATCCAAGACAGTCAATGTGACGGCAAGGGGTGCCAGGCGGTTTCGGCAAAAGTGAGTGAAGTGATGAAGTGCAAGTGAAAAAGAAAGAAAAGAATTATAACGCATAACTGTTGAAAGAGCGGCAAAAAAAAAAAATTGATGAAAGGCCTAAAAGTGTGTGTCCGTCCCTCGCGTAAACCGTTGCGACGGTCAATTAAATCGCGTATTTCGTAACGGTAAAGCGGCTCCAAAATTTGTATGTGATTACCTATTACACAATCATATGCACTTTTCGGCCACCTTTCGATAGACAGAAACGAACAGAAACAAAGTCAGATTCGGAAGCAAGTGAGCACTGGGAGCAAGTGAGTCTCTTTGTTTTGTTTTTATTTCCTTATATATTTTTCTTAATATTTTATTTATTATTTCTGTACACTTCGGGAGTGCTAATCCCATTCTATGCAATTCTCAAATGGGGCACCTAACCTAAGACTCTTTATGTTTTTACTCGTATTTTTTTAAGATACTTAAAAGGCATGTTATTAAACGATTTGAATGCAATTTTAACTACGAAACGTCTGTGGATATTTTCATTTGGAATAAACAAACGAAAGCAAGAATTGAAAATAAATAAATATTATCCAGACCAGACCAGATCACCTTTTTTGAAGTTCAACAACTGTCTGAGCCCTCCCTTTGAGACTTGGTGTTTCTGGAAAAGTTCAAGCCCTAGAGGAATTGTTGAAAATTGCCTTTAATTGCGCATTGCTCGGCTACCAGAAGTCGTCAGATGAAAGCGAGAATGCCCGAGGCATGTAGCACACAGCTGTGTCCAAGCCATCGCCACAGCCACAGCAGGTCAATCGAGAAAAGGGAAAATAAATTATCATCACTGTGACATTTTCATTTGTCAACCTACATAATTTGCTTTGTCTCGCATTCCTTCCACAGCCTAAAAACACCCTACACGCACCCTGTAGACATCCTGGCCGGATAAACATGATAAAAAAACTGTGGCAATTTGGCGTGGAATTTCACTTTTCTTTGACGGCTGAAGAAAATAAAAAAGCGCAAACACAGACGGAGCATGACACGTTTCGCTTTTATTGGGCTTGCCAGGACCTGGATGTCGTTAGGGCTGGGTACAATTTTAATGTGAAAATATGATTTGATTTTATTCCTCTGCACCGACTCACATTTATTCGTTTATAGTACCGGAGCACTGCAATTTATGTATATTTCTCTGGCACCCTCTTGGCTGAGTACTCGCATGATTTTCTCATATTGAACATAAATCACGCGTCTAAGGCTTCAAATGCAAAATAACCAACACAAGTACACGTGTAGAAACACACCTGTTTGTGTGTGTTCGTGTGGGCTTGTATCTGTGTGAAAATCCAGTACATAATTTATTGACACGACTGTGAAGCCTGGCAGGGGCCACGTCAGGCAGGTATTGCCGAATTCTGTCCTCCAGCTGCCAAATGGAATACTGTACATTATTTTCCGATCCTAACTCATGCATCCCATCATCCCACCATCCCCAATACCCCATACATTTCACGCTGTCACAGTTACCCTCTGTGTCACTTTTCTCTCTAACCCGTTGCGTGTTTGTGACGTCGTCAAAGCGAATGACAATGGCGCCGCATTGATGGCCAATTTAAATGGCAGCAAAGTGAGTTGTTAAATGCATTCCAATGCTGCATTTCATATTGATTGGGTACGGTCTTAAGTTTGCGCTGGTTGAGCATTGGTAGATTATAAAGAGGAGTGACATATCAGGAGGAAATTTCTGAAACAAACTCCCAAGTACTCCTAGTGAGTTTATTTATACATTTTTCTTTTCGTATCCAATAAAGTATTTGTTGTCACATGTTTCACATAAAGAGATGTAACTCTTTTTTTTAAATAATTATTATGTTCTAGCTGAAATAATTAAGTACAATAATTTCCGTATATCCTCATAAAATTATTCTTCTATTTGTGGCAGCAAAAGGCAGCAACAACATTTATTTGCTTTATTGTTTACAGATGTAATGAAATTTCTGCGGTTACTCATGCGTTCCATGGGGATGGTCGGAGTCAGCCGTAGGAAATATGGAAGGGTGTTATTTTAGCGCCAGTTTTTCAGCTAAATTTCCCATTTTGGCCTTTAAAAATAGCAAATTAATTATATTTCACGCCGAAAAAACAAAACGGCAACAGCAAATTTGTGTGTACTTTGGCTCATAATTAAATTTTCCTCTGGTGCGTGAGGGGGAATGGATGGAAGGTTGCTTGTAGCGGGTTTTCATGCGTGTGTGTGTGTGTGCGTGTGTGAGTGTGTATGTGGTTTGATTATGAAATCGGTTTAAGCGGGCGGGATCTGTTGTGTGTGTTTTTGTTTTTGTTTGTTTTGTTTTTCTTTTTGAAGGATATATTACGATGTGTACTTTATTTTTCACCTATTTGTGCTGGTAAAAATTCTTCAAGAGTTGCTACATGTGAATTTAAAAAGAAATAAAATACTTCTCCCGTCGATGGCATTTTTATAGTCCTGTTTCCATTTGTTGTTGGTGTGCTGTGTGTACAGGGACTCAGTGAGAATTGCCTTTTGTTTTGTTTGTTTCTGTTGCTGTCTTGAATGAATGAATAACCAAGCCCGACAAATTTGTTGCTCACTTTTTGCACACTTTGTGCTGTCATTTTTGTGGTCAACACTCCCACTTCATATCTACAACCTAACCGACTGCAAGTCACCCCCCCACACCACCCACTGCCCACTGCTCTAGTCCTGTCCCTAATGCAATTTGTCATTTTCAATTTTTGCTCCTCTGGCCTAGCCTTTGTCTCAAATGGAATTTTTGGCATTTCGTTCACATAAATTAGGCCTGACTTTCGGTCCGTCTGTCCTTTGTTGCTGTCGTCTCCCTTGTTATTCTATTATTTGTCCTTGTTTCTGTTGCAAGAGTTACTGTTGCACTCAAATTGCTGTGTAAATAATTATTTTTCCAATTTCATTTAGATGCAAATTGTTTATTTGTGAAAAACCATTTTCACTTTTCGTTGCAGCTGGGAAAATTGTGCAGAAGTCTTACATAAAATAGAATGTGTTCTGATTTAAATGTTGACTCGCCTTTAGGCAGCTGATAGCTACAATTGTTGTCTAATCATGAGTGCCACAATTTAAGTGGATTGAAAAGGCGAGTGTCTTTGCTAATAAACTTTACTTGACCTCAAGTTCAATTGCTGTGGTTGGAGGCGATGAGCGTTGAAAATTAGAACCAGAACTGCTTGCAAAATGATTATTTTTTGATCAAAAATTCACCGAAGTTGGATTGGTTAGATACCACAAACTTATCACCAAACTGGGTAAAAATATTCATATATTCTGGCACATTTTTACCACATGTCCATCAATGTTAATCAATGGATTCAACGAGACTTGAAAGCCAGTTACTATGTATATGTTTTTTTACCCATTTGTAGGGTTTAAAATTCAGGAAGGTAATTCCACCTTTGCCCCTTGTGTGCATGCATTTAACGCCATTTAAGCTGGACTCTGTCCAGGTTCACCAGCTCGTCGAGGGCCCTGGACAGTATCCAATTTCTGGGCACTTAACTGAAATACATTTTTATGGACATACTCTGGAAGAGTGGTGCTCTCCAGGAGGAGGACGAGCGGTAACTGTAGGGTGGTGGAGGTGAGTGCCCATCCTTTTATCACTCCTTTTTTTATTGCAAACTTGCGCGCGCGTTTGCTCTCGAGTTGCGACATTCGCACATCCTCGTGACTGCATAATTTCACAGAAATATTCTCATCTTTCGTTTGTATTTTGCATTATTTACTCAGATTTCATTTCGCCAGCTCCTTTCAGTGTTTATCTCTCGCCATCTCCCCCTCGCTATCTTTCTCCATCCTCTTTGTCTCAGTGCGAGACAGCTTCAGTGTGTGTGCCGACTGCTTTTGTAGTTTTATCACACACTTGACCCATAAATCAAACATGTGTAAATGTTTTCACTTTATATGCGCACTAGTACACACACACACATGGAATACTTTGGACCCGAGACTCTATGCATGGAGTATAGATTGAGTGGAGCAAGGTCCTAGCAGCTCCTCTGTCTTGCTCCAGTTGTCCGGTGCTCCGGTTCGTGCGTGTAAACGAAGTAGAAAAGCGTGTAAAATATGCCGCAAAGAGCCCAACTACTTGTCATACCCATTCTCACTCATCGCCTGCCTTCGGTCTCCTACCTCCTGCCTGCTGTCCTGTCCTCTGCCGT